CCTGAACCCAGAACCCAGGATTTGAGAGAGACGTAAAAATCCAGATTTAAGAACAATAACCGTCGTCTGTTTTGTCTTTCAGGTCGTGGGGAAGCCCTGCTCAGGCGTGTCCGGCGGGGCTTTAACATTCTGGCAGCATGCCTAGGCCGGGCATGCTGCTTCAGACCACGCGTGGCGCAGGAGATAAAGTAGTCAGTTGCATCACAGGATTGTAAACGTGTCCATCTGTGTGTGTGTGTGTGTGTGTGTGCATGTGTGTAGTATGAGCGAGTGTGTGTAATTGTGTGTGTGAGTGATGAGTGTGAGTGATGAGTGTGAGTGATGAGTGTGAGTGATGGGTGTAAGTGATGAGTGTGAGTGATAAGAGTGTGTGAGTGACTGTGTGTGAGTGATAAGTGTGTGTGTAATTGTGAGTGTGTGTGTGAGTGCTCTGTACAGTCTGAGGGGGAGAAGGAGGTGTTTACTACTTAACACATAGTTTGCACTTCTGAGAGTGAAGAACCATGACGTTTCTAACTGGGTTTTATCGTTACGTGACTTCGAGTCCTAAATCGGGGTATCTGTGCTGTTTGCGCATGGCTCTTTAAGAGCTGTGCTCTGTGTGTGGCTCCCCAGTCCAGTGTGTGTATTAATAAGGCGGTGACCCTGTCTCCCCAGTCCTGCGTGTGTGTAAGAATGGGGGTGACCCTCTCTCTCCAGTCCTGTGTGTGTGTAAGAATGGGGGGGACCCCCTCTCTCCAGTCCTGTGTGTATTAATATGGGGGTGTCCCTGCCTCCCCAGTCCTGTGTGTGTTTTAATAAGGGGGTGACCCTGACTCCCCAGTCCTGTGTGTGTTAGAATGGGGGTGACCCTGAACTTTATTGAAATATGTAACTGGTACAGGTACTGGTACAAAGGAATTCTTACAGAAAGTCTCTGGAATGTTTAAACAAGTGTAAAAACACAAAGTGCGGACAGTGCATCAAGACAATATACAAACAAACAGTAGACAATGTACAAGTAAACAAGTTTACTCTGTTTCTCTTTGGAACAAGTAATAGGTTTTATCCATGCTGAAAAAAAGAAGAAAGAGAACACAACGTTTCGGCCGTGGAGCCTTCTTCAGGTTTCTCTTTGCCTGGTTAGGTGCTCATCTAGTGTGTATCACTAAGGGTTCTATAGCATTCCAGTTGTTGTTATGTTTGTGTGTGAGTCCCAGTGAGAGGGGTAGTGTTGTTTGGCTTGTGTTGTGATTTGGTTGACTGATTCATGCTGTTTTAGCTGTGCTGGCGTGAGGCAGGTTGGTGTCAGTGAGCCTCAGGACCAGCTGGCTGAGGGGGCTCTTCTCTGGGCTCAGCAGGGTCTTGTGGTTTTAGGAATTCTGGTTACAGAATTAACACAGCTGGTTGTGTGATCC